AACACACTGGCAAAATTTCAGCTTCAAAGCTTACGCGGTTAGCGAGTTGAAATACTCGGACAGACGAATATACACACACACACACAAACATACACACACGCACACACTGACAGGGTTGTTGCAATATTCGTTTTTGCTGCCTGTTGCAGCGCTCTAGCGCTGCACGGAAAAAACGCATAGTAAAAATGAAGGCAATCGAAAATTAACTTAAATAACAGTAGACGCCAACAGCAGCTATCAGCCACTGGCAAGGCGTTGATGGCTTCTTTTTTCGAGGATTGCTTAGAAGTAAGCTAACAACGGATTTTATTTTCTAATATATGCCAGTATCAGTTTATCATTCAACGAATGAACAAATCGTAGAAAGATTGGTTGTCAACAAACCTGTACAAAAAAAAAAAAAATACTAACTTTTTGTTGCTATTCTCGGAGCTATCATAGCCGAAACCAACTTTCTGCAGCTCCGGGAAACTGATTAAACAGTTTGGCAGCGAATTTTTCATGGTTTCCAAAAAAGCTTTCTGGTGCGTCACACACGGTAGGAAGTAAAAATGCGCTCGTTGTAATCCTCGTATTCGGGTGATCCATTTGACGAAATTATCACTCACATATGGATTTGCGACAATCTCCTGGAACCCAATTTCGATTAATATTTATTATTCTTTCTTAACCCTAAACTTTTGTGCTGAACTGATAGAGAGATTCCATCGGTCTAAAACTTACTATATTCCTTACTGTCCGTGATGGTCGACCGATAACAAGATGCTCGATTGCACGATCAGTGAAAAAATCACAAAAATTTAATTTCATTACTTCTATCTGTCGACATTCCTTGAAATACTGGAAACCAGCATCAGCAATCGCCGAATCGGTTGCATCAACCTTGAAAAGAGACCTCTGAGAATTTATGTAAAATGTTTAAAGAGACATAACAAACGTCAGGATCGCAAGCAGGCCCTCACATATAAATGAAGGCTGATTAAATGACATGACAGCTACCCCCAAAATTTCGAATTCAAGTAGGGGAAAAATCGGATTTCAAGTAGGGGAAAAATCGGATCAAAATTTCGAATTCAAGTAGGGGAAAAAAAAACTTTCAGGGAAATATCAGAAGTTTTAAATTTATAAGCCAAATATTACTGTAATCTGTATAACCTTAACAATGTACTTTTTCGGCTTCTTAGCCCAACGCATCTCATAAATAGCATCAAGTTTCTTCATAGACACCGTTGGCAATACTGGACTCCACTTGAATGGCATGGGCGAGCCAGGCTGAATACATAAAAAAATCATTACAATTATCTGCAGATTCGAATCAATTCACATCATTTTCATACCTTTTAAATATTATTATTGACGGAATCATCCAATAATGTTATCTGCGTAACATTAAAAAAAATATAACACAGGCTGTCAGTGAGGTGGAAGGACCCGTCTGCATGGCTACACGAAATTATGCAGATGAGAACGGTTCGTTTGAGCTAATGGATCGGCCCATAATGTTAGTTGTCTTTCAGTGGAAAAATTGCTAGTTGCATTAATGGCAAGAAGAAACGCAACGGTAAAACAACCACTAATTAAAGTAACAAATTACTACTGACACAGGGAATAAATTTCCTGTATGTTAAAAAGTTTTTTTTTTTTTGGTGACAATTACGAAACCCACTATATTTTTCAATTTGAAACCAAGATCTCTGATATAACTGCGCATATCTGATCTTGAACTGATTGAAACGCCATCACTCATGATAACCTGAAAGTTATAAAAACGATAGTACAGAAAAATCAATAAAAAAAACGAAATAAACGGGTATAACTTGAAAAATTTAAACCAATATTGGCAACTACTAAAAGTCAGCTCGGCTCGGCTCGGCTGCCTCGGCCGCACCTCGGCCACACCTCAGCCGCCTCGGCTCGCCTCGGCCGGCCCCCGGCAATGGCATTATCGTGAAGGAAAGAGTGGGAGAGCGGGACGGGAAGGTAAGGGGACAGACAGGGGAAGGGGAAAGAGGCGAACGGGGAGAACGCTGGCAAGGCAGACGGGGGGAGGTAACGGCAGTGGGGACGGATGGGAAAGACGGGCATGAGGGGAAG